TGACAGGATTGTGTCTTTGCAGCGGCTGTCCAGGATCCCCCGTACCAGATAACCCAGCCTGGGTCCCTGTCGGCGCCGGCCGGGGGCTCTGTCATCCTGCCCTGCGCCTTCACCTACTCCCGCGAGATCGAGCCGCTGCGGGACCTCCGGGTTTACTGGAGACGGGGGGGATTCCATGGCGAGTTTATCTACAATCACACCGAGGGGTTCACCCACCCGGATTACGGGGGCCGCATCATCCTGGTCAGGGACCCGCGGGGGAGCCAAACGGCCTTGATCCGCATCGACCGGCTGCGGGAGTCGGACGCCAGCGAGTACGTCTGCCACGTCAGGGTGCAGAAGAACAACGGCGAATGGGAGCAATGGCGCAGTGTCCTTGGGACCAACCTCACGGTGACAGGTGAGAGGGGATGAACCGTGGGGACACCGGGATACCAGGGCAGAAGAGAGAGAGAGAGAGCTGCTACTGGGCACAGATCCCCCACATCCATGAACAAGGGGGGTCACCCATACCGGGGGGGTAGTTGTGGGGAAGCAGGTTTCCCCCCATATCCAGGGGACTGTAGGGTCTCCCATACCTTGGGGGCCATAAAGGGGAGCAGGGACCCCCCATATCTGGAGGGCTGGGGGGAAGGGGTCACTGCACCCTTCAAGCCGGGGAGCAGGTGGGTTTGGGGGGGACAGAGTTTGCCAGGGGAGCCCGGACTCACCTGCTGTCCCCTGCTCCCTCCCCAGGGCGGGAAGCTCCCAGCCCCACGGACAGCACGTGGCACCCAGAAATGGTCACAACTGGTGCAGCCTCTGCGGGGAGAACCTGCCCCGGTGCATCGACACTGACCACCTCCTCCTCGTCCTCGTCCTGGAGCTTTCCAAGGCCGGCGTCTGCAGCGTGGTCTTTGCCCTGGGTCGGCAGCTGGGAGGGTGGAGAACTCTCTACTAGGCATCCCCAGGGAATGACACCATCCAGCAGCAGTAGAATGGCTGTTATCCTCCAGCAAAACACCCGCTAGCCAGAGCAGAGAGGGATGGATAGTGTGCATGTGGAGGAGGGGGAAGTGTGGGGATAGATAGATAGATAGATGGGGTGTTTGATGTTGCACTCCATAATATTTTATGAAAATATGCTAATGAGTATGAATATAATTGTAACTAGAATATGCTTCATGCAAAAGGTTTCTTGTAAGGTATCATTACAAAGCTTATAAGCTACTGAGTGTGTTCATCCTATTTGTATGTATGTATCATTCTTGTGTCTGAAACTAGAAATATGAAATATAACTCTGAGGGCCTATTGTAATTATGCAAAGTGTGGGCCATTAATGGTGGTTTGGAATCTTGATGGCTCCCAGCAACTAAGACAATTGGTTGTAAACGGTTTACTTGCAAATCTTCCTGTGAGTCAGGCCGGGAAGAATGAAGGCTTGGGGGGTCTCACAGGACAGGTGATCACGTCACCTGGTACCGGAATCCATCTTAAACCTGGGGCTTTTCCATTTAGAAGGGGTGCGGGGCCCAGAGAGACAAAAGATTCCCACCTTGTGCCGAAGCCATATAAAGGGGTGGAACAGAACAAAGGGGGCTGCAGTCATGAGAAATCCCCTAGCTACCACCTGAGCTGGAACAAGGGCTGTACCAGGGGAAAGGATTGGGCCCAGACTAGGAAGGAGTCTAGTCTGTGAAAGAAGCTCATTGGAACATGTCAGAGGGTGAGATTTTACCTGTAATTTGTTTCTTAATGTATTAGTTTTAGTCTTGCGTATTTTTGTTTTATTTTGCTGGGTGACTTACTTTGTTCTGTCTGTTATTACATGGAACTACAGAGAGGGAAGGGATAGCTCAGTGGTTTGAGCATTGGCCTGCTAAAGCCAGGGTTGTGAGTTCAATGCTTGAGAGAGCTATTTAGGTCCCTAGGGGGACAAAAAAAAAAATCTGTCAGGGACAGTACTTGGTCCTGCTGTGAAGACAGGGGATGGGACTCAATGACCTTTCAAGGTTCCTTCCACTTCTATGAGATAGGTATATCTCCCTATATTACATCCTACTTTTTATATTTAGTAAAATCACTTTTGCTTATTAATTAACCCAGTGTAAGTAATTAATTCCTGGGGGAGCAAACAGCTGTGCATATCTCTCTATCAGTGATATGGAGGGCAGACAATTTATGAGTTTACCCTGTATAAGCTTTATACAGAATAAAATAGATTTATTTGGGGTTTGGATCCCATTGGGAGATGGGTGTCTGTGTGCTGGAGACCGGAGCACTTCTGAAGCTATTTCAGTTAAGTCTGCAGCTTTGGGGGATGTGGTTCAGACCTTGGGTCTGTGTTGCAGCAGGCTGGCACGTCTGGCTCAACAAGTCAGGGCACTGAAGTCCCAAGCTGGCAGGGAAAACGGGCTCAAGGATGGTCTCAGCACATCAGGTGGCAGTTGCTAGGGGGTTTCTGTGACCCAACCCATCACAGGGTGGATGGGGATAGATAGATAGATAGATAGATAGATAGATAGATAGATAGATAGCGGGGGTGTATGGGGATAGATAGATAGATAGATAGATAGATAGATAGATAGATAGATAGATAGATAGATAGATAGATAGCGGGGTGTATAGATAGATAG